CCCTACACGAGCCTCTTCCCCCCTGTCCCAGCACAAGAACTCTGGGACACCCCATCTCTCCTGCCTGGTGGCATCTGGAGCACCCGCTCTCCTCCCGCAAGGGGCTCAAGGCAACGGGGCAAGAGATTCCAAACGTTCGAGGCCTCTGCCCCACCTCAGACACACCGTCGCTCCCTCTCCTCCCCAGCCAAACTCACTTGAACTCCAGGCACTTGGTGATCTCTTTCTGCAGGTGCATCACCTCATAGAGCAAGTTCTGGAGCTGCAGATGATACGCGTCGACCTTCTGCTTTGCCTGAAACACAGACACGGCCAGAGCAGGAGATGAAGCTCTGTTACCATCCTCCCAGCAAACACACCCCGCAGGAGAGTCACCAACACACACCCTCTCACCGTACCAGCTAGAGATGGCAGGTTTTAGGGTGTGCAACAGGTTTTTCGGGGAAAAAAAAAAAAGACATTTTCAAGGGCTGGGAAACCAAACGATCGTGATATCAAACTGATTCCACTCCCTTCCAGCACGTTTCAGGGACACGGCACAGAACAGGGCAGACCTGCTGGGGTACAGGGGCCGAGTCCCCTCCCGTCCCTGTGCCTCAGCTTCCTCAGTGGTACAACGAAAATGAGCGTTTTTCACTAACCGTGCAAAGCTCTCCGAGAAGTCTGGGTAAGGAGCTTCGGGGCCAACCACGTACACGCTTCTCAGGCCCACAGCACACCAGACTCTCAAGACAAAGCTTTCCAACTCCCCGTTATATTTGAGACAGAAGCAGATACCGCTCTTTCATCACTCGTTATAATCAGAGCTTGCGCTGCACCGCAGTAGAGTCCCCTGATAAACCCCTAATTCAAAACCCACAGCCTGGCTGGTGTTTGATTCCTCCCCAATTCCTCCCACGTGGCCATAGACAGAACTGGCAGAAACGGTGCGCTCTCTGATCCCGCTAAATCCGGACCGGTATTCCTCGCCCCCCCAGCCCACTCTGTACCTCATGGGTTTGATCTCGCCCTTTCTTCAGCCGAATATGCGCCAGCCGGTTGAGTTTCTTCAGGGTCATGAAGTGGACGCAGCTCTGAATCCGCCGCTCATCGATCTCCGAAGCCTGAGTGGCAGGAGAGAGGCGTTTGAAGCGGGAGAGTCGGCTCTCGCCACAAAGCCCCTTTGCTGCAGGCCCTTCCTGCAAGCCCCGTCTCAAAGGGGGCTCTGCGCTTCGCTAAGGAGCCACGATTAACGTCACCAGGGCTTCTGCGGGAGCCTCCTGCTGCCAGGCTCGCAGGTCACCCGCTAGAAATAAATAGGAGGAGTTTCTGGGCTCGCTCTAGGGTGTTTTCTCGGCAGCAGGAACAGAGGCGTTTGAGGCCAAAGTGCCCACGCTGCTGCGCAGGGGGCTGCGCAGGCAGTCGGAGCACAGGGCTTTCCCAGCCAGGGCCGAGGCTGGCAGGCCACTGTGGGCCAGCAGGAGCCCAGCCACCCCCCGGCAGTCAGCAGGGGCTCAATTCCTCCCCCAGGAGCCCCCGACCCATCAGCACGACCCACGAGGAGCCCAGAGACACTTTAGAAGGACTCGGTCTGCACAATGGCTGCTCAGTTGAGACCAACACCTCAGCTAAATCGTATTTGACTTTATTTAAGGGAGGCTGTTCCATTTTCCTGACGCTCCCCAGAGAACGTCACGGCTTCTGCTCCCGTTCCTCTCAGATTAAGGGAAAATCATCAAAGAACAGAACACGTTAAATCAAGCACCGAGGCTTCTCCTTACGTTGTCCTTGATGCCTCTGCTCTTCAGCTCCTGGATTTCTGCCATCAGCCTCTGGAGCTCCTGGCAAGTCTCTCTGTAGAGTTCGTAGTCTTTGATGGGGTCACGGAGATCCACCTCGCACTCCTCGCTGTAGTACCTAACATCCTGCAAAGGCAGAAAGCGCTTTCTACAGCTTGTTCCTTCCACCTCCTCTGGAAAGGGAGCTGGGAAACAAACCGCTGAGTCTCGATTCCTGGCTTTGTCCGTTAATCCCGCGCCTGAGGAGACTTTACACACGGGACGAGGACTCTGGTAACGATCCTGGACACAAACGCCACCGGGCATTAAAACGCCTGGGGAGTTCAGGCTGCCTTTTATAGAGTTATTGTCAGTTTAAACTGGCACCTGTCCTGCACCAGGCAGATCCAAATTCCTACAGAGGACAAACTGGGGAAGGCGACTACTGCTTCGACCTCAGTCCCCACTCTGGCTGAACCTAGGTTACACCGCTGCTCGCAGGAGTGTTTTAAGGCAACCTGCAAACCCCCACGGGCCGTTTCAGCCTTGTGCTCACTCTCCCTGGGTCTCAAGAGAAAGGGTTGTCTCTGTGAAGGCTGTGTTTCCCAAAGGAGACAGGAGTGGGTTCAGAAACTCAGACTGAGAGTTTCAGAGGCGCTGGGAGCCGGCTCAGCTCTGGGAGAACTTCCCGAAGGGGAGAATAAGGCCAGGAAAGAGCGGGTGTGAGAAGAGCCCTTGGCGAGGCAGGAGGACGCAAGCAGCCTGCTGCCGCCGGGGGCCCTACCTGGTCGGCATCGGCCTTGCCCCGCTTGCCCTCCTGCAGGCCCCCATCCGTGCGGATCACTTTGGGTTTCCTCTTCTTGCTGGAGTCCGACGACATGGCGCTGCCAGCCAGGGACTGGGGGGCGAGAGGCGAAGCCGTCGGCCGGGGAAGGGGGGCTCAAGCCGCCTGGGACCGGGGCTATCCCGGGCTCCTGCCACCAGCCCG